GTCAATCAAAAAGACGCCCGATCTGCTCAAGGTCAAATTAGTACGCCAGGATACAGGCCTGGCCAAACTTTCTTTTCAGTTCTTATTATGCATTATGTGATCTCTGAGTTTCATGCGCTGTCAGCCGTACCTGCTGTGTCTATAATTAATTCCCATGATAACATGTGGGTAAAAATGGCAAGTACTCTTAATTTGTCAACTTTCTGCTTGGAACAAACCTTAAATCTTCAATATGTTCTGAGTTCATGCCTAAGACCAGTGTGCAAGCCTGCAGAAGATATTAGAAATTGAACCTTTTAAAAACACATTTCTAAACCTGCCCCATATTATGACTTGGCTAACTGGGGACCTGTCTCACGTGATGTACCCCCTGGTGCACTGCATTTTGTTACCCCAAAGACTGTATTACTTTAAATGAAACTTGTGTGCAATTTGTGAACTGTACTGAAAAATGTTGTCACCGATTGTCAGGATTTCTAAATTGTTCTAGTCTTATAAAGTATCCATATATAAATGGTAATATCTTATTACCCACTGGATAGTTTTCACATGCAATGGACATACTTTTAACTATATCCCAGCTTATCTAGATGGAGTCTTCTGTTGTTTAAGCAGGCTGACTATAATTCTTCTGTCTCAAGATAATTTGATGCTACACCATTTAAAAACATCACCCCGCAAGAGGAGAGAAGTTTCTAACATCCCTCTTCCTCCTGACTGTAACGATAAAGTCACTTTTCTGTCTGATGCAGAAGCCTATGCTATGATAATCAGTGTTGTTGGAAACCTATACTTTGGTAAAATAGCAAAAAAACCATGTGAAACAATTGGGTTGTAATGTGGCCAAAGCCCTTAATGCCACTTCAACGGCCATCACCCTACTCAATGCAGAACAAAAAAAACATAGACAAGCTATATTAGACAATCAGGCTGCCATAGATTAATTACTATTGTTTCACCATCAAGGATGTGAAAAAATAAGAAATATGTGCTGTTTTAATCTATCAGATAACAGCCATCAGGTACAGAATTAGGTAAACATACTAAAAGAGTTAGTTCAAGATATCTGTCAAGGTAATAACAGGGGGTTATTTTCAATATCCTCCTAGATAAATAATCTGATAATGGCTCTGATTGGGCCCGTGATCATATTTTTTCTGGTCCTGCTCATTGGACCTTGTATAATAAACTGTTTGACTATGTATATACAACAAAGAATCCGGACGATTAAGTTAATGGTGTTGATGAGATCTAACAATGAGCCTCTCACACCCCCGGGCAACTCAAGTTATGAGGTTTAAATGAATCAAAGATTTGATTCCCAGAAAAAACCAGTGGGGAATGTAAAGGGTTAACAGAGTTTTGTGCCTTAACTGTGGAAAATTATATATATATTAAAAAAAAACCCTTGTATTCCCTGTTACCTACTCTAAGAAATGTATTTTCCCTTTCGGCTCAAGGCTGTTCAACAATAAATAACTGTTTCTTGTCAAGGCAGCAAGCTAACACAAACTCCCTCCCCAACCATCTCCTGTAACATAGTCAGCTTAAGATATATCTTGTAAAAATATGCACTTATCACTAAGCTGTGAAAGACCTTTTAGTTATGAACACTTTGCAGCTGTGTCACATGAATGCAGGTTCTGTTGTTCTGTACTAGATAACAAGTTTGCTTACCAAGCTGGATGTGATTTCTGTTATAAATCCCCCCTTGCTACCTACGTTCGGGGCCGATCAGCCTTCTCCTGCGAGAGAAGTGGCGGCGGACCTGAGCTCAGTAAATAAAAGGCTCTATTCAGATTTCTATCTGGCTGATTTGGTTTCTATGCAGAGTTGCCCCATAACAAATATCCTCAGGCAAAGAAAAACTGAAAAATTCTATCTTAAACAGAGCTTTCCTAAAAGAAAGGCTAAAATAAGTTCTTATAATAGAAATGCCAAAAGAAGAAATCTGGAACAGTAGAAGAAAGAATAACGAAGACAGCGAAACTGTAGGTGAACACAGTGCCCCTTCCTTTACCAAGAAGTTGTCTGACAGATGGAAGAAAAAGCGCAACACTGTCTAAGCCAGGGGTGCTTGTGTCAACGTGTAACCCCAGCTCTCTGAGCACTGGGGCAGGACACTTGCAAGTCTGAGCCCAGCCTGGCCAATTTAGCTACTTAGCAAGACCATGTCTCAAAACGAAGAAAGAATTTTTGTGAAGGGTTAGGAATGTAGCTCAATATGTAGGTTGTGTTCAGCAGCAGAATATTTTCATCAGCACACCCTACAAATGGACTTCTCTTCCACCCGATGGGTCATGATTCTACCTGAGTCTACAGGGTGGATTTCATAGAAATAGCTGTAGCTCAGTTCCACAAGTGATGCCTAGCCACCAGTAACTGTCACAGTCATTATGCATGTCCACAACACACTGGAACTTTGTGCAATATCCTATCCTCAAACTGTTAGAAGTGCTGGTCATTTATTTGCCATTCCAGTATTTATCTTATGTTTTACTCTTAGTATTTCTTTGCTATCATGAAAACTTTTTCTGAGTTCATTTGTTTGGAAACATTTAATTTTCTGAATATTGCTTAATCTTAATTTTTGTTCTGAGATTTATATTGTATCTTTGACTTAGAATTTATTTAAAAGACATTGTATGATATCTTCTCCTAGTATTAGAAACTTTAAAAAGTATATTTTCATTTTCTGTTGACTTTAAAAAAAAAACAAAACAGAGGTTTATAAAAAAAAAGTGTGTCATGTAAAACAAACAAAAAAAAATGTAGGTCCTGGGTTTAATCCTCAGTAATACACACAGACACACGCACACAGACACACATGCACAGACACACACACACAGAGACAGATAGATAGACACACACACACACATACACACACACACAATGCTGTCTAATGTGGGACAAGATGTGTGTAGAACATTTAAGAAAACCAAATTGCAAATGGAGAAATGTAAAGGGATTTGGAATGAACCCAATTTTCTATACTTCACTCAAACTAGTAAAATGCGGACATTATATGAAGTTATACATGGATAAAGCCTATAGTAGTACTAAAAAGACACTAACCTAAAAAGATTTACAAGTATTATAGGTAAGTCAAAACAGAATTCTAAAAATTTCTCCAGTAATCCATAAAACACAGAAATAACAAAAAACTAAAATCAAAATAGCAGACTTAAGCTCAGTTGTATCAACGATTACACTAAATATAAATGGACCAAAAAATATCCATCAAAAGGCAAGGTGAATAAAGAAACATGATCAAACTATATGCAAGGAAAAGAATGCTGAGAGAAAATAAAATAAAATCAAGCCCATCTCCCAAGCCCACACACCAGATTCTTGCATTTATCTCAGCTCCCAGGGCTGCCATAACCAAGTGCCTTGTGTGTGGCTTAGATTAAGACACCGATGGTTGCATGGCTGGGAGGGCTAGAAATCAGAAACCAAGCTGTGCGCAGGGCCAGGCTGTCTCTGAAGGTCCCTCCAGCTGCTGGCAACCCCTATATTTCTTGGCTGCGGCAGCGTAAGTCTACCTTTGCACGTGCCCTGTGTGTCTTTGCTCATCCTCCTGTGTGTGTGTCAGTCTCCCCCGTCATTCTATTTTTTTTTTTTTTTTTTTTTTGCAGAACCGGGGATTGAACTCAGGCCCTTGCACTTGCCAAGGAAGCGCTTATTCCACTGAGCCATCTCCCTGGCCCCTCCCGTCATTCTAGATGACAGCCCACTCTACGGACCTTATTCTATCTTCATTATCTCTGTGAAGACCCTTTTCCTAAAGAAGTTCACATTCCCAGGTCCTGGGACTTAGGAATTCAACACACTTTTTTTTTTTTTTTTTTTTTTTAAGGAAAAGCACAATTCAATCCATAACAGTAACATTCTTAAATGAACAGAATTATTCAGATGGAAAATCTGTTAGTTTAGAGGTCACCGGGTATAAGGAAACAAGGGTACAAAAGGGGTGGCATGAATGGTGTTTTTGTGCTAAATGTTTATCTCTGCAGCCGTGATGTGCGCGTGCAAAGGTAACTGCTCTACACACGTGACAAGGCGGCAGAAGTATGCGCACATGCTGCACCACTGCCAAGGCGGGGACTGGATTCTGTGCTCCAGTCACAGAACCACCACTGCATGCCCAGGAGGAGGATGCAGGGGCTTCCTGTGAGTCTTACAACTTCCTGTCAATCTATCTTTTAAATTAAAATTATAATGTCTATGGATATGCTCACATGAAAACAAACAGCTTCAGAAGACAAAAAGAATACAAAATAAGCTTCAGGCAAAGCTTCAGCACTGAATACAGATGATGGACTGATGCCTTCAAAGCTAAAGGCAGGGGCTGGCGAGATAGCTCAGCGGTCTAAAGTGCCTGCTTAGGGAAGCTTAGGCAAGTGCAGAGACTGTGGTTCAATTCCTGGCATCACATGCTGTGCCAACCCCAACCCCAGGGTCAGCTGAGCCGGCCACAAAAGATAAAAATAAAATAAAAACCTAAAGGGAAATTGTTTTCAACCCAGAATTCTGTACCTAAGCTATCTACCAAGTGTAAGAATAAAGATATTTGCAGACACATAAAAAGTGGGGGAAGGGGCAGAAGAGCCATTGATCTTTTCCAAAGGTGGTACTGGAGGACACGCTCCAGCAAAACCAGAGAGGGAACAAAGGAAGACCCAGGATCTAGGGAGAGATTCAACCAGAAGACGACAGAGCGAACTCGGGATAACGCGCCGCACTTAGCCTGGCTGCAGCAGCGGCCGGGCCCTGCCGCTGTACAGGCAAACCCACAGCTCCACATAAGGCTGGTGGCTGCGGGCAGAGCACTGTGGCGTGGCGGGACTCCGCAGGCTTGGTGGCACCTAGGCCTGGGGGCTCCTGTGGGGCCCTAAGTGGTGCAATGTGGATGCTGCTGACATTCGTGACTTGGGGCTAGCCGGAGAATCACAGGACGCCTCAGGGAGCACAGCAGGCGTGCTCCTGACGCCCCTTACCTCTAGCTCCTCGACAGGCACAGGCTGGGACGGGAGGCCAGAGGCGCACTTGATCTTGATGGTCAGCGGGTTTAAGTCCTGCTTTTGCTCCTCTGTCATGATAGGAACTTCTGTTTTTAAGGTCACGAGGCAATCTAAGATACTGGCAGCCTTCTCACTGGCACGGCTCATGATGGCTTGCTGTCCTATCGGGGTGGGGCACGGCATTAGACCTGTACTCACGGCCTCCCCAGACAGGCGCAGGGGGGTGAAGCAACTGCAGACGAGCTTATGATGATAAATGATAAAAATGCAAAATGCCCACAGCCAGCACATTTATACAGTCTCTCAAATTGAAATCTTAATTCTTGAAGAAAACTGAATTTTGGTCATCTAACCTTGCTGATCATCTTTAAAGAAGTGATTCTTCATGTTAATTCTTCACTCATCCAGAACACGATACAGACCACTGATATATAGGTGTCACCCCACAGTCTGATGTAACTGGTTTGTGGTGCAGGCTCCACACTGGAAAGTTTAAAAGCTCCCAGCTTTTTTTTTTTTTTTGTATTTAGGGAAGGGTCTACAGGGTGTTCAGGGTCTCACTACTAGATCCAACTCCTAGTGATCCGCCTGTTAACAGCCTCCCAAGAGCTGGGATTACATGGGCTGGTGAGATGGCTCAGTGGTCTAAAGCACCTACTTAGAACAAACTTAGCAAAGCACAGGGACCGCGGTTCAGTCCCCCAGCACCATGTGCCAGCCAGCCCCGCCCCCTGGTG